AAGGAATTTTGGTCAACACATGCTCTGTGTGTATGGGGTGGGGTGTGCATGTGTACATGTGTACCTACTAGCACTACATACAGAGCCCAGAGACAGGAACAGCAAGATGAACAAAGCTATTCCAGCTCTCAGAGAGTATAGTGAAAAATGTAAACTTACAAATATTTTGCAGTGCATTTGAGTGGATATTTTATATTTTTATTTTATTTTTGCCTGTTTATGCATTTTTTTTTTGTAGCATTGGGAAAGCATTGCTAGTTTGTCTTCTGTCTCCCTTGACAGCTACAGTGAATTGTACTAGGATACTTCAAGAAGTTCATGAAAAGATTCGCATTATCTTTTAGTTCTATTTTTCCATGAATGTTTTGTTTTATTTTATAGTTTATTTTACATTCTATGATGTTGTTGCAGAGCATTTGCGAAGAGGAGAGGAGAAAGAGGAACAAAATGTGATGGCAGAAGGAGGAAGGAGGAGGGGCGGGATTGAAGCCTGTTGCACCCCGGACATTCCCACAAGGGAGACCAGGGGGCTTCCAGCGGTGGCTTGGTCATTGCTGGACTGGCAAAAGCCCTACCTCCCACCTGCCCAGCTCAGAAACCAAGGGCCTTTCTTGCTGTGACTTGGTGGTCGTCACTGGACTGGCTGTGGGTGTAGGGCGGACATGGTCAAGGCCCTAGGCCCTCCACTGTTCCAGTTTGGAAGAGCCTGGGGCACTTCCTGCAGCAGCTCAGTGATTGTCACTGGGGTAGTTGTGCTTGTCATGGGGGTGTGGCTAAGGCCCAAGGCCACCACCATGGGACTGGTAGTGGGTGTCAGGGGTTAGGTAGAAACTCTGGTCTGGGCCTGAGTCTTTTCATCAAACTGCACCCCATGCAATTCTATATTTCTGAACAGCCTCCTCTGAGTGGTCCTACATTAATTGGGGGACAGATCAGCTGTCCTTGCTGTGCCCCAGTGTTCCCTGGCTGGGCCCATCTCCCCCACCACCAATGCTCCAAACACTTCCAATGGGACTGGCTGTGTGCCGGTCCCTTGTGATGACTCACCGGCCTCTGAGTGGCTTCTTTTTATTTTTTATTTTTTTCTGTTTTTAATTTTTCTTAAAAATTAATTAATTAATTAATTAATTAATTTGAATTTTTTTCTTATCAATATACAATGTAGTTGACTTTCGTGTTCCTTTACTGAATCCTCCTTTCCCCCTCCCTCTCCCCTCTCCTGCCCATCAACATCATATCTGTTGGCTCTTCTTAACAAGTTCAAAGAATTGTGATTGTTGTGTCTTCTTTCCTGCCCCCCCATTTGTTTCTGTATTTATTAATTTATTTTTTGCTCCCACAAATAAATGGGAACATGTGGTATTTCTCTTTCTGTGCCTGACTTATTTCACTTAATATAATTTTTTCTAAGTCCATCCATGTTGCTGCTAATGGTAGTATTCCATTCTTTTGTATAGCTGAGTGGTATTCCATTGTGTAGATATACCACATTTTCCATATCCACTTGTTTTAGTCCGTTTTGTGTTGCTATGACAGAAATACCTGAGACTGGGCAATGTATAATGAACAGAGGTTTATTGGGCTTATGATTCCAGGACACCTGCATCTGGCATTGGCCTCAGGCATGGGCCTCAGGCTGCTTCTACTCATGGTGGAAAGTGGCAGGCAGCCGGTGGGTACAAACAGATCACATGGCAAGAGGAAGCAAGAGAGAGAAACAAGAGAGAGAGAGGAGGTGCCAGGGTCTTTTAAACAATTAGCTCTGGTGGAACTAATAGAGCGAGAACTCCCTCACTCCCCCAGGGAGAGCATTAATCCATTCTTGAGGGATCTGCCCCCATGACTCAATCAGTTTCCAACACTGCCACATTGGAGATCAAATTTCCACATGAGTTTTGGAGGGGACAACACATACAAACTCCATCACCACTCATTTGATGATGGACATTTGGGCTGGTTCCAACTCTTGGCTACTGTAAATAGAGCTGCAATAAACATCAGAGTACAGGTGTCCCTTCGACATGATGATTTTCATTCCTCGGGGTGTATTCCTAGCAGTGAAATACCTGGGTCTTATGGTAGAACTATCTGTAGTTGTTTGAGGAACCTCCAAACCAGTTCCCTTTTTTACAGTTGTCGTGGCTCCTCAGTCCTATGTGGGTCCATGAGACCACTATTAGTGGTATTACTGGCCCGGGGGCCACCAAGGCCCTCTTCTCCCCTGCTGCCTTTAAGTAACTTCATCTGAAAGTCACAGCTGTGGCATTTTGCCAGCTCCTGCTCCATGCACTCAGCAGCTCCAGCCTGGAAATGACTGGGATTCAAAACAGTAGAAGGGGATTTTTCTTTCTCTCATCATGGCTTCTCCCACCTTCATGCACTCTGTAGGTCTCTCCTCCTCTTCCTCTGAGTTCTCGAGGCCCCAGCTTGGCTGTCGTTGCTTTTTTATAGCTGTAAATTTGTTGATTTGTGGGAGAGAGTGACGCTGGGGACCGTCTGTTCCTCCATCTTGACCAGAAGTATTCGTGAATATTCTGAAATACCCTTGTGTATTAAAATTTAGAGGCATGAGACCACTGTGTCAGTGCATTAGGAGTTTTTTTTATTATTTTTTTTAATTTTTTTTATCTTACTTCAGTGTTTGTTGTTTGGCTTTGAAATTATCCATTCATGAGCATTTCCAATAGCTCAGCATATCTCGCTTGGTGTCCTCTAGACAAAAATCGTTCTCAGCCGTTTTAAAAATACCTTTTGTTTATACTTTCCCTTTTCAGAATTTTTTTCCCAGAATGAGAAATAATCCTTTATTAAAGGTTTTCCTTGTTTTAAAAAATGTGGATCCAACTTTTTTTTTTTCCTGTTGAACTGTAGACATCTTTTCTCTTTCGCCAGTCGCACAAATGACAGTGCAGGTGCTCAGCTAAATAGCTTTCTTCTGAAAGCAAACTGAAAATCTATAACTTGTACACTGGTCTCCAAGGGTGAAGTGTTGGCTAATGATGTGTTTGAATGTGGATTTCTAATATTGTCTTAGAAATATTTGTTACAAAATAAAAGAGAGAGAACTAGGTGGAAGAATACCATTTTAAAGAATTGTCTAGCTGATCTATGAGTTAGATGTCAGCTTATACCAAACAGTTTCAATTTCCACGTCACAGATATATAGGGCAGACTTGTTTCCAATTATTTTATTCAGGGAAACTATAGACAAGTGAGTTTTCTGTAAGTTTTATTTATTCACTTTTTAAAAATGAATTAAATGCCCATTACTCATAAGGGTGTTGAAACTATGAGCCTGACAGTAAAACCCTACAGAACAGTTAGTGCCTCAAATAATTTGAGTTTGGACAAAAAAAGAATTATGTTTAGATCCAGAACAGCTCTTTTATTTAAAACAGAAGCCACTTCCAAATTCAGCATAATAAATAAGAGTGTGTCCCATAAGGACCCAGAGAAAGCTTCCTGCAGAAGAGCTCAACCTCTGAGAAGATAAAACTCCACCTGGGGATTTGAGGATTGAGCTAGTGGCCATTCTCCATTGTAAAGGAATTCGGCAAAATATAGACATACAGAATGCCCCTTATTTGGCTAAGAGTATTATATCTATCAAAAGGTCAAGTGTTTAATGCAAGGGCAGGAGGTGTCCAGAAAAATAAATTTATGTGGGCATCCACGTCCTGACAATACAGTGTAGTTGTATGATGACTTTATGCTGAAATGCTGATATAAATAGGGGCAGTGATAACTGTTGAATGAATGAATCTGCCCTGTTTTCATGTTACTTAATTTCCTCTGAAGGTAATGCAGAAAAAAAGCAATCATCATTTTCTTTACACCTCCAAGCATGAGACAGACTGTGAAGGGAGTAAACAAAATTGGTTCAACTGAGGGACCAGTCATGGAGTCAGTTTTAGCACTTGATTTGACAAGGTTTCTACTGCTGTCAGCCAGGAGCACATATGGGTGCAGGAGTGTGCTGAGCCAAGGGCACGGAGAGAAAATAGGGGTTCAAATATCAGGACAATTACATATAAATTCCAAACATGAATTCACTGTACCAGTGAGAATGGACTTGCTGTGCAGAAACATATTCTTAGCTACAGATGAGGTCCGAGGAACTTTCCATGACAAATGAAAGTAGCCTCAAATGGGCAGAACTAGATTTAAATCCAGGTTCATAGCACACGTGTTTTTGCACATTTTATAATCTCTTTATTTCACTGATGTAGAAATGGAGATTTACTGATAATGGTTCAAGTTCATAGGGAATCAAGTGACAATTCTCATTGTAGTTGATGTTCTTTTTGCTTTGTTATTTTCATTATTGCCACTGGTATAAAAGGTATGTGTAGAGGAAGCTTGAAGCTGTTCATCAACAACTGTCTGGCTTAGAAGCATTTCATTTTCAGGCAAGCAAAAGGGAATTTGAGGCTTTTTTACCAGAATGAGATGGACAGATAAAGTACCATTTGATGACACAGACATATTTGTGCTTCTGATAGATTTCGGACAAGTGCTAGTTCC